GACAGCGACAATGAATCCGACATCACCCCAGAGGAGGAACAAGAAGAGCCGGAACAAGAAGAGGTTACGGCTGCGGATGACCTGTCAATGCATGACCGATTACGTCAAGGTGGCCTTGCACATGCTGCCGATGAGCCACTTAACGGACTGACAGCGCAATTATTGCCGTCCACTCTCTTTGCCGTCCGCCGTTCATGCCTTTGCCCTCCGCCGTGGCAGACGGCAAAATAGCTGATTCCTGTAGTGGTATATCATTGTTTAGATGGATGACGATGTATTTGCAAGTAATCGAGACTTGTATCGCTATTTTCGAGATGATGACGAGAGACCACTTTGTGTTGGATGATGATTATGATGATGACATGATTTGATGAGACTAATTGTTTGTATATGCTATGATTACATTTGTATGTGTATGATATGCTAAAGATTATTGTATAAAGCCTATTCAAATACAAAACAAATATGCAGGGAAAAAATTAATAAAACTAGTAGTAGCAAGGGGGGGAAATTTAGTAGTAGCGCCGCCTTACCAGAGTGCTTCCCAGTAAACAACGATGCAGATAATATCAGCAGCGCCCTTTTCTAAAGAGCGCTACAGCTATTCATGTATAGCAGTAGCGTGTGACAACAGGCGCTACTGCTATACGTTAGCTATAGCGCCTTATTAGTAGCGCCGGTCCCCGCACTACTGAGAGGCCCAAAACCCGTGCTGCTGCTAGGCTTTTCCCCATAGATTCAAATAGCCCGTGAAATAGCCGCAATAGCTGCGCCATAGCTGTTCGGGAGCCTCGCCGCTAAGCTATGGCTGTTGCCGTGAAAACCTCAACATATCCCTCTAAATGGAAGAAAAATCAGCAAAAACCTCTAGAAATCATCTCTCCCACCAGAAAATTTTCTGCTATTTGCCGCTATTGCCCGCTATGGCGGCCGCTATAGCTGCTGGGAGAGGCCGCCGCGAAATCGTTTCTCCCGCGATTTTAATCTATGCTTTTCCCTAGTAGTGATAGAGAGGGCCCGAACCTGGGTAAACATCGTGTCCCATGTCTCCTGTTACCATCGACCTTAGACGCACAGTTCGGGACCCCCTACCCGAGATCCGTCGGTTTTGACACCGACAACTTCCTTGTTCTTTTCAACAAAGGGAAGGTGACCATTTTCATGCTAATTTATGTAGATGATATAACTGTTGCTAGCTCCTCACAAGAAGCAACATCGGCCCTACTTAAAAATTTGAAGAGTGAATTTGCTCTTAAGGACTTGGGAGAACTACATTATTTTTTAGGCATTGAAGTAAAAAGGGCACCTAATGGCATTTTACTAACTCAAGTGAAGTATGCCAGCGATATACTAAAACGTGTATGCATGAAGGATTGTAAACCGTGTAGCACACCTCTGTCTACTACTGAAAAACTGTCATTGCATGAAGGAGAACTGCTAAGTCCAGAAGAAGGGACTAAATATAGAAGTGTAGTTGGAGCACTTCAGTATTTGACTTTGACAAAACCAGACATATCCTTCTCTGTTAACAAGGTCTGTCAATTATTGCATTCTCCTACCTCTCTGCACTAGACAGTTGTAAAGAGAATATTGAGGTACATTCAAGGAAGTGTTGGGACAGGACTGGAAATATGTAAGTCACCTTCAACCGTAGTGAGTGCCTTCTCTGATGCAGATTAGGCAGGTTGTCCTGATGATAGGAGGTCTACTGGTGGGTTTGTTGTTTTCTTTGGCTCAAACCTTATATCCTGGAATGCCAAGAACCAAGCAGTCGTGTCTCGTTCCAGCACCGAAGCAGAATACAAATCGTTGGCAAATGCAGCGGCTGAGGTAATGTGGGTAGAAACTCTACTAGATGAGCTAGGGATTTCAAGACCATAGGTCTACTGTTTGTGGTGTGATAATATTGGTGCAACATATCTCTCTGCCAACCCTGTGTTTAATGTAAGAACCAAGCACATAGAAATTGATTTTCATTATGTTTAAGAGAGAGAGTTGCAAGGAAACTATTGGACATCTGATTTATTCCAACAGGTGACCAAGTTGCTGATGGTTTTACAAAGCCTCTGCAGGTGCGACAACTTCAAGCCTTTAAGAGCAATCTCAACCTTGATACGTTTAGATTGAGGAAGAATGTTAAGCGATAGGCTTAGTTTGTGCACATGACACATTGTCACGATTGTAAACTTGTGTGTGTGTGTGTGTGCATATACTTGTATCACAAGGCAGGTGCTTAGAGGATGGTCTTATCTCTTGTATAGCTTGGAGGAGGAGCCAAGACCATAACCACCAGCCGCATCTGTAATTTGTGTTCTATATAAACACGCATACGTCCCTGCTGAGAGCATACGCTTTCAATCTTCTTTTCTTTCACTAAGATATAGAAAAGCATTTTCTAACGGAAGAAAAAGATAGTCACAGCTAGCAAGCGGAAAGTGAAATAAACTCGATAAAACATAAAACATCATCAATCAATTCATGCACTAGAAAAAACCAAGGATGGCTAGCACACATCGGCGGGCGGCAGGTCGGCGACACGGGCGGTGGCACGCTTGTTGCGGAAGGGCGAGTCCTCCCGTAGAAGCAGGTAGATGATGCCGACGGCGATGAGCAGACAGGGCACTCCCAGGATCCCCCAGAAGATCTTGTCGAACCTGGTGGCGCGAGCAAACACATGAGTGTAGGAGATCACTGCGGAGAAGGCGAAGAAGCAGATGTAGAGCACCGCCATATAGAGAAAGATCCAGCCCACGCACAAGCCGGCCGCCTCCTCTTCTTCCGCCGTTATCACGCGGTAGTTGCTTCTAGACGATGTCATCTCTTCCTAGTTAGCACCTATCGAACGGCGCCTCTTGTAGTCGTAAAACAAAGAAGCTTTCTTGCCTGCCAGGTGATTAAATCATATCCAGCTGCGTACAGGAGATGAAGCCCTAGCTGCAGCCGGCCGGACGGACGCAATATACGTACAGTAATACGTATTTTTTTTCTGGGGGAAGCAACGAATCCCCGAATCGTAGCGCGCACAGGCCTGGCCTTATTAACGGGCCAGGCACCAGTGCTTACGTATGGCAAAAATGTTTCACTTTCCATATATTTTTATTACTGTATTATTTTCGCGGGGAAGATATTTATATTATTTAATTTCGTGACTGTTTTAACATATTTACTTTAGTTTTGTGTATCTAATTAAAAGTTGAAAGTAATATATATTTATAATTAAAAATTACTCCTATTTTGATAAATAAAATGTTCATTACATTTTAAAAACTATTCATGTATTTTTAAGACGACATGTATCTCATGAAAACCACGTCTTTCAAATCTGAAATCTTTGCTTGTGAGACGTCGGATCGAATGGACGCATACTAGTCATGGATGGGATGGCACAGGAGATAACTTCAACCGATTCCTATTTCTTGAGGAACTCTCACAATTCTATATGTGGTTGTGTGAATCGCTCAATGCAAAGACCGATGGGCGCGGGCCGCGGGGCTTTGGATGGCGGCGATGCGCGTGCGCGGGGCGCGTCGGCGTGGTGGCGGGCGTCTGGCAGCGACGGCGCGGACGTGTGGCCTGGCACGGTGGGCTGCGTGGTGGTGGAGCCCGTCACGGCTGAGGCGGCCCGATCTGGTCCGATCTAGGGCCGTTTCGGGCGGCGGTGGCGGCGGATGGCCTGGTGGCCGCCGGCGGCTCCTGAGGTCTGACGCATAGCGATGGCCTCGCGGCGGCTACACGGTGGCTTGGCGGCTCTTCCCGCGACGATGGCCGGCTTTACTCCGGCGTCGGCTCGTCTGCGGTCGGACCATTTGACCTTCGCTCCATCTCCTCGTCGTCCGGGCAGTACCTCAGTCCAAGGGATGGCCCTCTCCCAGATGCGGTCCATCGCTCGTCTCGCCCCCGGGGCTACAGGACCGAGCTCGTCTCGCGCCCGGCGGCAGTGTCGAGCTCGTCTCGCGCTCGGGGCTGCAGGACGGGGCGATGGAGGCCAGTTTTGGCTGGCCTATTGGGTCTCGGTGTTGGGGGTCATCCAGGGGTGCGAAAGGCGGGGACTTTTCGCTCGTCTCTTCGGTTGGGGTAGCGGCGGGTCTCATGTCAGGTGGTGCCTAGGTCTTTGATGCCGGGGCGGCGACCCTGGTGGTGGTAGCGCGGTGCTTTTGGGAAGAGCCCGCGGCTCGGTGCTGCCCAGTGGCCATGGTCGTGTGGGCGGCGTGGCAGCCAGGGTGTGGCATTCGGTGGCGATGAGTGTTGGCCAGGGTGAAAACCTGTTCCACCTTCGAACAGACCGGTGGTGGCGAAGCTCGTTCCCTTCTTAAAGGCGTCGTCGCGGCTCTCATCGCCCGTTGTGTTGCTCCAGGGGAAACTCTGATCCTTGGATCGGGCAGTGGTGGCGCTCCGGTGTCGTCTCCTTTCTGAAGGCGCCAGCTTGAAGTCCACGGATCGTCGTATGCGGCTTCATCTTTTCGTAGATAGCGGTGGTGTTGCTGCGCTTAGCGCATGTGTATTTTGCCTTGGATGTGTGCGTTTGTTGTGATGGTATGTGTTTTGTTGGTGATCATTGTTTTATATATATAACAGGATGGAAGCCTTTTTGGGTAACCAAATATCGACGTAGTCCCCATTTTGTATTTATCTATGACTCGACAGATCATCTAAATACCCTTTCTTTTTTGGTCACATTGTCCTCCTTTTGCGATCAACCTACACGCTTTCGTGTATGCTTGTAATAAAGGTGTTGACAAGGTAATGAGTTGCTTCCTTAGATACCCAGATCTGTTATAAAATTTGGGTCCTTTGACAAATGTTGTACTCCCTCCTTCCATCTATACAGGGCCTAATACGTTTTTCAAGACGGCCTTTGACTATTGACAAGATTAATAGTACATGACATGCATAATGTAAAAATTATGAAAGATAATAAGCGTTCCTACTCCCTCGAGAGGAGCCGCGGTTCTGTTTATATTGATTGATGCGGCCGAAGCCAAGCTTGGAGTACAAGGAATATTACAAGGAGTTTGAGTAGGAGAAGGAAAGGAGTTTGAGATGCTACGGAAACATATTCTCTAACACCCTCCCTTAATCTTAACTACCCTAGATTAAGATTACTCTTGAACTCCTCAAATGGTCTTGATGGCAATGCCTTTGTAAAACCGTCTGCTACTTGATCATTGGAGGGAATAAACCGTATCTCGAGTTTCTTGGCTGCAACCCTTTCTCGCACAAAGTGAAAATCAATTTCAATGTGCTTTGTCCTTGCATGAAACACAGGATTTGCGGACAAATATGTTGCTCCCAAGTTATCACACCATAAACATGAGATACGATTCTTCTTGATTCCCAATTCCTCAAGAAGTGATTCAACCCAAATGATTTCTGCAGTTGCATTTGCCAAGGACTTATATTCAGCTTCTGTGCTTGACCGTGACACGGTGGCTTGGTTTCTGGCACTCCAAGAAATAAGGTTAGACCCAAAAAATACTGCAAAGCCTCCAGTTGATCTTCTGTCATCACTGCATCCTGCCCAGTCAGCATCAGAGAATGCACTCACAAGAGAGGAATTAGACCGTTTGAAATGAAGTCCTATTCCCATAGTATGCTTTACATATCTTACAATTCTCTTGACAGCTGACCAATGTGCAGAAGTAGGTGCATGCAGATATTGACAAACCTTGTTGACAGCAAATGAGATATCTGGACGTGTGAGAGTTAAATATTGTAATGCTCCCACAGTACTCCTATACCTTGTACTTTCCTCCTCCTGAAGTGGCACACCTTCATATGCTGAAAGTTTTTCTGAGGAAGACAAAGGTGTAGGAACTGGCTTGCAATTCTTCATCCCCATGCGAGACAGAAGCTCAGTGATATATTTCTCCTGATTTAACACAATTCCATCTTGAGTTTTCTTGACCTCAATACCTAGGAAGAAATGCAAATCACCTAGGTCTTTCAAGGCAAACTCTGAGCTCAAATCATGCAGAAGTGCATTAGTAGCATTTTGTGAAGAACTTGCAACGATGATATCATCAACATATATAAGCACAAAAATGACTACTCCAGCCTTGTTATAAATAAACAATGATGTATCAGCTTTGGAGGCAATGAAACCAAGATATTTCAACTGTAAGCTCAATCTGGAGTACCATGCTCTGGGTGCTTGTTTTAAACCATAGAGTGCCTTGTCAAGCTTGCAAACATAATGTGGTGACTTCTTGTCCTCATAACCAGGTGGTTGTCTCATAAACACTTCCTCTTCTAGAATGCCATGCAAAAACGCATTCTGTACATCTAGCTGTCGTAGACTCCAACCCTTGGATACAGCAATGGCTAGCACAAGTCTGATAGTTGCAGCTTTAACAACAGGACTGAAAGTGTCCTCATAATCAATACCATAACGTTGTTTAAAACCCTTTGCAACGAGACGTGCTTTGTACCTGTCAATGGAGCAATCTGCCTTCTTTTTAATTCTGTAAACCCATTTGCAATCGATGATATTTTTACCTTTCTGATTTGGTACAAGATGCCATGTCTTGTTCCTCATAAGTGCAGAATATTCCTCATCCATTGCCTTCTTCCACTTAGGATCATCAAGTGCACTATTCAATGTTGTTGGTTCTCCTGAAATACACAACATTCCATATGGTATAGTCCCATCTTTTCTTATTTTAGGATTTCGTATACCTTTCTGTAATCGAGTCATAACTCGTGAAGAAACTGCTGGCTGGACCACAGGAGCACTCGCCGCAGAAGATCCCGAGGAAGCTGCATGTGATGACACAGGCGAATCTGGCGCCACCTGCGCAGAGGATCCTGTAGCCGTTGGTGTGGCCGCTTGTGTGTCCACCACACGGGTGCCAGCCGCCCGAGCCGGCACAGCGGATCGACCGCCCGACCGCGGTTGCAGGCGCACGCTGGGCGAGGGAGATTCGGCCCCATGGCTGGTCCCGCCTGCTGCTGAGGTGGCGGCGTGGGAGTGGCGTGCGCTGGGCGAGGCGGATTCGGCCCCGCAGCCGACCCCGCAGCTGGTCCCGCCTGCTGCTGAATCAGCGCTGCGGTTGGTGGGAGCGCGATCCGAGGCTGATTTGGCCGCGGGATCCGAGGTCTGCGCACGAACAGGAGTTGCAGGCGCCGCTGGATCAGCTTCGTCATCTGTGCCAGGTTCATCTCCTTCCTCAGCATGAAATATAAGATGATCTTGAGCTTGATTTTCGAAATTTTGATCATTTTGAGCGCCGTTTTCATCAGCGACCTGTACAGGCAACAGAGAAGAACCAATACCAGCAGGAATATCATCACTTTGGTTAGTACAACTGTCGCCCCCATGATCAAAAGACCGAAGATGTGGAGGAAGAAGAAGGATTTCCTTGCGGAGAAGTGCACCAGCATTGGGATGAAGAGAAGCAAAAGGGAACACTGACTCATCAAAAACTACATCTCTGGATATGTAGACCCTACCAGTAGGAACATCTAGACATTTAACTCCTTTGTGCATGGGACTATAGCCTAAGAAGACACACTTTTTGGAGCGAAAAGCAAGTTTGCGTGTGTTATAGGGTCTGAGGTTGGGCCAACATGCACAACCGAAAACACGAAGAGATGTGTAGTTGGGTGTGACACCAAGGAGTCGTGTAATAGGTGTTTCAAATTTGATGACTTTACTAGGAAGCAAATTGATAAGATATGTAGCGGTTAAGAATGCTTCATCCCAGAATTTGAGTGGCATGGATGCATTTGCTAGCAATGCTAGCCCCATATCAACTATGTGACGGTGCTTTCTTTCAGCAGATCCGTTTTGTTGATGAGCATGAGGGCAAGAGACATGAT